TCTCCAACTCCTGGACCTTCAACTGAAAGCAACCTGAAGCGTAAACTACCAAGAGTCAAGGTAGAGAAAACACCTAAATCAAATAAAAGTACGATGTGTGACTATTGCGGTGTTCACTACTCCCAAGATGTGGCACTTAGGAACGGAGCTGTATGGGTAGAGTGCATGAGCTGCGGCAAATGGTACCACCAAGAATGTACTGGCACAGAGTCGCCACAGTTCCTGTGTGATAATTGTGATAAAGTAGACTTTTCAGGCACTGATGACAGTGATTGGGCACCTGAATAGACTTGTCACCATATTGCCACATATGGTATCACCAAATTGCCCCCCGTATCTCCATATTGCCAACACCAAAAAGATTTGTTTGATCTGATTTTCCTATTAATGTTTAAGAATTTAAGTTGCTGTGATTAATAATTATTGAAAAGAAAAGTCTGATTATTGTAATAAGTAAAGAGGTTTTCTAATAAATGTTAATTTTGAAATAAAATTTTAAGTTTTTTTCTTATTATCACCATAAAGCCAACCTTTACCCTACTTAAATCTTTCATCCTCTTGCTTGCTCTCACTGGGGAGGAGGGTATTTGAAGCAGCCGTAAAATCTGTTAAGACACACCTAAATAAACGTGTAATCGTTGACACCCTGTTTGATGCTGTCACTCGCGTTTCGCGATGTGCGATGGAGGAAATTATTAGCGGAACGATTTTGTGTAGGTATTGTAAGTGTCTGCGTGTGTAAACTATTAGTGGAAACAACGTAACAAATGCTTTGATGGTGGTATAAATCTTGGGTTTTTAACCGCTTAGCGCTTAGTAGCCTTGAAATATTACCGTTATCAACTGTCAGATAACTTGGGCCGCCACTAGGGCTTTCAGGACCGGATCCAGTTCTTTATTTTTATAGGCACCCGGTTCAAATAGAGGTTTGGAACCGGTATTCCCGATTCTTACCAGTTCTTAGTGTATTTTTAAAATTATATTATTTTATTATTCCTTATTCCTAATTTAATCAGCGTGTACCTACAAAATATTTGAACACTTGCGCTTAAACTTAAAATAAAGAATTAAAAGTAATCAAATATTTATTAAAAACTCCCGTCTGTCTATGTAGGGAGGTAGGTATATTAAAATAAATAACTCTTACAATAAATAAGTACCTATATATCTAACTTTAATAATGCAACATAAAATCTTTTGTTTAAGAGATGAAACACTTCAAACTTTTAGTACTTTCTGAGTTAAGTTAAACTATTTTAACGAATTTTATGGGGCTCAATAATGTTGTAAAGCAACGGAAACGTCGCGAATTAAAAAGTTTATATTAATAGTATAAAATCCTTGAAATTATTTTCATTTAATGTGTTGTGTTGTATTCGAGTAAATAAAACAAATCATTACTTTCAGAATTAAATATTTTCAAAATCAGACTAAAAACTGAAATGACAATTATTACTCATAAAATAATGTCCTCCAGACCGAATTTCGGTCACGGTGGCCTGCCTCAACGGAGACTAGACATCGGCGCAGGACATGATTATAGTGCCCTAGTGTTCTTTTTATAGGATAAGGGTGACAAATGAGCATCAGTCCACCTGATGGTAAGTAGATGCTGTGGCCCATAGAACTCTACATTTAACCACGATTAAGAATCAAAATGCAGATGCGTTGTCACCCTTGATAACTAAAATGGAATGTCTAGATTCCAGTAAAACGGGTCCCCGGTTCTCTACACTCACCATACGAAACACAGCAGCATTAAGCTGTTATTTTACGCTGGATAACGAAAGCACAGATGCACTCTCTATTCCCTCACTCTCATAATCCGGTGGAACGGTAAACCGACACGACCGAAGAGAGATCAGGTGCAGGACTAACTGCTTTTCAGCTACTGAGAATTTCTTGATGGAAAAAATCAGTAATAAATTTTTTGTCCCGACCCGGGATTCGAACACAGGACCTCATGATTAGCATTCAAACTTCTGCAACCACTAGACCAACGATGCAGTTGAGCAGAGGCAGATAGCATTAGTACTACCATTACTAACAGTACGTATTCTCTGAGAAACATCCAACACGTAATGTTTTGAAACAAATCGCATAAAATAAATCATACAATATGTTTTTTGATGGTGGCGTTCGCACTCACACTGTAAAATTTTCAACAGATATTCAAACTTCTCTTTCAACATGACAATATTCCTACAAATATGTTTTCAAACATTTTGTTTCTTTAGTTATAAAGATATAGTATAGTTAAAATATATAATGTACAATAAACTGTCAAACATATTTCACTACAACATGTTCTTTGAATATGCAAACGCTTTTTGATACATTGACAGTGTTTACCTATTCGGCTCCCCTGTCCGACGAGCAGTTTGGCGAATGGCTCTGGGGGAGAGCACAGGTCGTGTTGATCCCCAGGGCAAGTCTGAGGAGTTCTTCCTTCACGTGGTTACCGCCTGTTATTTGGTCTGGTTCAATAGGAAACAGACAGAACAGAAACACTTAGACGATCCTCTTTTTCTTTTCTTTTATCCCACCTCTTTTTCCTATGCCAACCCAATCGAAGGTGTCAAGCGTACCGTGCCGATGGATGCGTGGCTGGAGAGAGTCCAGTGAAAACGGTGTCTACCCGAGACCAGGGCGATTCGGGTAGTATTTTAGCCTTTCCCTTGGCATGCGGGGCGCCGCCGGGGGTGACCGAATATGACCCTAGCTAATCGTGGGACCAGAATGGACGAAAATCGAAAATTAGCACACAATATTGAAAAATCTTCGTTAATCAAACTATCTGTACATTTGGAAGAGGCTCTTTTAACCTCACCAATACCCTACAACCAACGCCGTCTTAGGCCATACCGGAGCTCTTGGGCACACAAAAATCTGGAGCCCTGTTGGAAAGTAAAAAAAAGTGAATGACAAAAATATTTTTCTGCTATGATCTTATATTTATTATATTTTAATTGGTAAAAATCAAATATGTCATTAATGAGGGCTCCACGACCTTTTCTGCCACCAGGGTGGCGCCACTTTACAATGAGGTAAAATATTTGACAGATTTCATAGCGGAGACGATAATTTCCTAGGAAAACGTAAACTTTAATGTTTCTTTCCGTAGCAATGGTTATATTGCATGCCTTAAGCGCAAAGCGTGTAGGTATGTTCTAATAGCGGAGCGCCTAAAAATTAAGAATCCAACATTTTGTCCCATGAAACCGTATCTAACATATAAATAATATAAAAAGCACATTGTTAGAAAGATAAATGATTGTTGAACTTATTATTTTTTTAATCGATTAATTGCTATTTTTAAATTAAAAAGTGCATATTTTCCACCTAGGAAATCTGCCAATGTCACTTTTTCTGGCTAACTCGGCTATGTGTGGCTCACTGCTCAGGGTTGCTAGAAAGTCACTAATAACGCCCTCATTTACTCAATAAAAATTTTTCCTAAAATAGAAAAAAGATTGTACAGCGTAAGCGAATATATCAGCCTTTCGTCGGATAAGGGCCCTATGCACCGGCCGCCCCGTGTGCCCTTATGGTAAAGCCAGTACTGCCCGCAACACTACGTCCCAACCTGGGACGAGCCGTGAAGTGGAGGGCACGTCTGCAGCCGAACCACAATCGGAAACGAACCAGGGAGGGGAAAAAAAAAAGTTCACTAAGTCTTATAAGCTTAGTGGGGCAGAAAGGAAAAGGTACCGAGGGCTGATAGCAGCTAAGATAGGAGCCGAAGAGGCCCTCTCTCTCGCCAGGAGACCTGGGCTGAAACTCCTAAACCTAAACCTTTCCCAGTTCCGAAGACGAAAACACGCAGTCGGTCTGTGGAAGAGTCCCCCAAAGACCAGCGCAGAAAGTCTGTGAAGCTGGCAACGGGGGAGAAAAAGCTCAGCTTCAGTACCGTAGCTGGCTCCGCGCGTGTAAAAATTCGCAATTCAAATCCTATGAGTGTGCTGCAGATGCGGCTAGTCCACCGGGCACTAACACAGGCCATCGCTAAGACGGCCTGTGGGGCGCAGCCGGGAATGGGACCGAAATTTTCGGGTTTCACTTACAAGCCAGGTTGGATTCTGGTAACGTGCCTGAATAAGGCAAACCAGTACTGGGTTGTGGGTAAAATCGGGAAATGAAACCCTGGCCGGAGGCAGAGCTCTCGATAATACCCGGGGGCGAACTGCCTAAGCCTCAGCTGGGTATTACCTATCTGCCCCGCACCGAAGCTGACTCTCCAGTGGAAGAACTCAATAATTGATTTTTTGGCCCGAGCCGGGATTCGAACCTAGGACCTCATGATCAGCAGTCGCACTACTACAACCACTAGACCAACGAGGCAGACAAAGACATATAATAAAGTAATAAAAATAAATAACCAAACAAAAACGAGTATATCGATGTCGATTGTTGCTAACATTGCGAACGAAATCACTATAGATTAAAGACGTCATGTCTTGTAAAGTAACATCACATATATTACTACTAAAATGACGATGTCATTTTCTAGTAAACCAGAAGATACGAGTGTACTTACTCTCATATTTGGCATAGCCCTTTCCACCCAAGTTAAACTGATCGTGAGTTTCGACTTTACAAAATTCTAAGGAAAAATATAACCAACTTAAGCGTACGCAGCCAGCGTCGATCTATCGTGAGTCTACTTAAAAATGAGATAAAAAATAGTTTTAGTCTCTGTGCTCGCGTTTCGTCCTGCCAGATCATCGAAAGCCGCATGAGGGATGGCTGCGTTTTTTATTCCCGGTGCCCCCCGCACGTAAGTAGATCGATTTTTAGTAATTGTATTGGAATATTTTATATTATTTGATGCTATTTGATTAGATACGAGTGCCTGTAGGTTTACTTATCAAGTTTTTGCAAATTGAAGCATTAGTTTCGTAATTATTTTCTGTCAAAATTAAACACGCACGATCATGCAACATCGGTCGTAGCACGTGATGTTGTTACATTTTGTTATTTTGATCCTATACAGTATTTAAATGGCCTTTTCTTCTTTATTAGGGGTTCCAATTACGGATGATGTAATATTAGACCAATTGATGAACGGAAATCTATCGGAGATTGAAGATTTTGATGATGACGACTTGGAATTTGAACCAAATACCCTATTTGATCAATTGGCTTGCGAAAATCTCTTCGATGGTGACAATCCTAATGAAGATGAAGAAACAAGTCACCAAACATCACTATTGATGTGTCCTCCGGTGGTGCAACCTCCATCTACATCGACGCCGCAACCTCCAGCTTCATTAATGACGCAACATTCTCCTCCACCGAGGACGCAGTCTCCATTAACAATGCAACCGTCTTGCCCATCATTATCATCCACGTTGCGTCGTTATCGAGAAAGGTCAGTATATTTATCCTCTGAGCGATCGAGATCAACCACCAGTACTCGGGGAAGAAAATCGGTGTCAACACCATGTTCTCAAGGGAATAGATCGGCATCAACATCAAGTGGTAGGAAAAGAATATGGAAGCAGGTTCCATTTGTAGATAAACTGCATAACTATCTTCGCTTGCCTACAAAAGTAGTAAGGCATCCTATCGACTACTTTCGTGACTACATAGATAACGAATATATAGAAAGGATATCTCACTGCACTAACTTATATTACTTACGTACTACGGGCCGTGAATTGAAAAGTAAAAGCAGTGAGATCGCAAAGCTCCTTGCAATACAAATAATCATGGGATGTGTTCCTTATCCCCGACTGCCTATGTATTGGAGGGCTGGTACTAGGTTGGAAATTGTCAGCGGTTTAATTTCGCCGGACAGGTTCTTTACCCTTCGCAATTCACTACACGTAGTTGACTCAGATTCTCCATCTGCATCCGAAACTGGTAATCCACTATGGAAGGTTCAACCTATGATCGACCAAATTAAAGGTGCTTGTAGTACATTAGAAAGGGTGCTGGGATTTTACTCGATCGACGAGCAAATGATACCATTTACAGGCCGCTGTCAACTTCGCCAGGTAGTGAAGAACAAACCTAGGCCTGTGGGGATTAAAAACCTTGTCCTCATAACTAGTGAAGGATTAATGTTAGATTTTGAAATATACGGGGGTGCAAGGACGATGTTTGGTGATACGAATCTCGGTCTGGGTCCTTCGGTAATCTTACACCTAGCAAAAAGTATTCCCCCAGGTAGCTGCGTTTACCACGATAGATATTTTACCACCGTTCCTTTGATTGAAGAAATGAACAAGTTAAATCTGCATTTGACTGGGACAATAATGTTGAATCGTATCCCTGATCGAGCAACAATAAAATTTAAAATGGATTCTCAAATGACTTGTGGTGAAAGCCAACATTTTGTTTGCGAACCTGTTGCAATAGTAAAGTGGAAAGATAATAAATCCATATTACTTGCATCCAACTGTACTGGCTCTGCCGCGACGATTATCGTTAAAAGGTGGGATAAAACCGTTAGACGGTACGTTGACGTGACTGCTCCAAAAATAATAAAAAATTATAATCAACACATGGGAGGAGTTGATGTCCTGGATCAACAGATGGAGTGTTAACTTTTATAAAAACAAAAAAAAGGACCTTAAAATTGTTAACACACTTTTTTGACCTCGCGCTCGTAAACTCTTGGAGGCTGTATAGAAACGACTGCAACAGAAACAATTATGCAAGGAAAGACACGATACCTTTACTCGATTTCCGCTTGGATGTGGCAGATGCCTTATCTTGTACACCAAGTAGAACTCGAAGGGATAGTGAAGATGATGACCAGGTATCATCTCCTAGTCGTGACTATAAAATATACAGACCAGCAAATAGGCCGTCAGCAGAAAAATTATATGATGGGTATGACCATTTTCCCACCAGCAACGACATAAAAGCGCCGAGGACTTGTAGATTGGAAACCTGCAGCAGTCGTTCAAAAATTAGGTGTGATAAATGTAATGTGTATTTATGCTTATCCCGTGATAAAAATTGTTTTAAGGCTTATCATATACAATAATAAGTCGATCTCATTGATTGTTATAAGTAAAACCTAAGATCTTGTTGATTGTTGAAGTAATTGTAGTTTATTTTTGTTCCGATTATAGAAATTAGGAAGATCTCATTTGTAATACGTTATTTTATAAATAATTACAGTTTATTTTTATATATAATTGTAATACTGACTGATTAAAGTAATAGGAAAACATAAATATTCATATTTTATTTTAATTGATATTTATTATTTCATTTATTTGACCTAAATCATTCATTATTTACATACACTCACGATCGTGCGACCAGCAAATTATTCCTGAGCCTCATGAATGCGAGGGTCTAATTGCTGAATACCAGCTTCCTTGTGATTTTTTTCAGTAATTTTTCCATGACATCTGAATAGTTTCGAAACGTATTCTAAGTTCTTACTAATGTATGCGAATTTTTTTACTCCCGGTTGCAAATGGATAGTATAAAGAGACCAAAGATGACCACTTGACATTTCTATTTCTTGAATCTTGTTCAGTTGAGTTCATAGACCAATTAATATTTTTATCTAAATATGTTTAAAAGTCATAAAGATTATTGTATAACCTAAAACTACGTTATCGTCCTTTCTCACTTGAGGCCACGCCGATCAATAGTCTATAGGTTTCTCTGTCTACGTACAAAACAAACGTCCATAGGTAATACCTATATACCAGAGACATACGTCTATGGTATGGAGTGTAGAGTACCTCTATACTCCTGTACTCTGGTCATTTACGTATATAGTCAGTAATCTATGTCATTTACTTTGTTAGTCTATGGTTAAAGAGTTTATTAGGTCATTCTCTACATTTTACTAATATTCTGTTTGTGGCCCAACTTATTTCATAAATAGCAGTTTTATACACAATTTTATTATTAAAACATACGATATGGCCGATAGTGATGATGAATACGATCGTAAAAGGCGCGATAAGTTTCGCGGTGAAAGAGGAACAGCTGAAGGAAGCAGTTATCGTAGTAGTGATCGCCGAGAGGAGAGAGGTCGTGGTCGGGAGGAGTGGTCTGAAAGGTAGATATTTCTTTTAATATTACTGACGTATTCAGTTATTGATGTACAGATGTCGACATAGATTGTGTTTAGATTGGCAAAAATGAAAAAAAAATACCTGTTTACCAATCACTTTTATTGTGTGTCCTAACATAATTATTTGCAGATCCCAAACCCATTCACACAAACATTCCGAAGTCCTATTCCAAGTTCCCAAACCTTCAAAACGTTCAATATCATTAGTTGTCAGGTATTGCTTTATCAAATGTCTATATTAAATTACATTGATTGTTACTGGTTAACAGTTTCACTTGTAGTGTATTACACAAGAAAGTTAATTTGTAGATTAGTAGTCTAGTAACATTTAATATATTTTTGTGCTTACACAGCAAACCAGCAGAAATCAGGTAGTCCAAAAATATACTACAATGTTTATTAGTTCATAGCAAATTATGTTCTTAATATATCAGAATTAGTTTAGTCCTTGTGCCTGCAATTGCTATACCATTATTTTGCTGTTCGTGGAGGACGTATTTGAGTTACAATTTGTGTTTATAACACAAACAAAAGAAATTTAAAAAAACTACTTGATTCTGTTTTCTGTGTTATGTACATGATGTATTTAATTAATGCCCTTTTAGGCATCCGCAAGCTTTTTATGTTTATTGAATATAAATTGTGGTGGGGGTAGAATAGAATTAGAATAGATTGTTAGTTGTACAATTTCTAAAATAATATTAAGAGATTCTTGGATCGGAAGATCTCGTGGAGGTCGTTCTGGTCCTGACTACAGAGACTATCGGGGAGGAGCAAGTGCTAGCCGGGGATATTCGCCTGTAAGAGGAGAAGGACCACCAAACAAGAGAATCAGACCTGACTGGCCTATAGATGATAGAAGATATGGAGGGATGCCACATGACTCATATGGTTCTTATGGTTGGGCACATGATCACTTTGGTCCCCATCCTGCACACCAGGGCTATGGACAGCCATTGCCACCAGTACCAGCAAGGTTAGTTCTTAAATCATCAATAATTAGTATAAATAAACCATTAATACACTCACCGGCACGGAAACTTGGCCAAGCGGTTATCTCGCGATAGCAAAAGCTTTAAGTGTTTCTGATGAATGTTTGTTATGCAAGTATGTCAAAAAATGTTTACCCTCAAGTTCAAGAGGGTAATTCATTATGTTTAAGTGCACCATGACAAATTCTTTAATTTTTAGTTGAATCGGGTCATTTGAGCGACTAAGTTCACATTTTAAATTTGTGTGTTGTGAGAAGTTTACTGTAAGGTTATTCAATTATTGTGATCTTGTGTCTTAATTAAATAACTAAAGGTGCTTTAAAGCCAATAAAAATGCCATTAACACCAGCACAAGTTGCACAAGCAGTAGCATTAATTGACCAAGGGCTGACACAGCGTGAAGTTGCTATTGTGCTTAACGTACCATGGTCCTCAATGCAGTATTCACTGAAACGATACCAGGAGACAGGCCGCTACACCCGCAGGCCAGGCAGTGGGGGCGTAAGGTGCACATCGGCCCGGGACGATCGTTTTATTGTTATGGAGATTTTGAGAAACCGCTACCTGACCGCTGTTGAGATACGCCAGCGTCTCCAAATCGCGTTAATGTTAGTGAGCGTACGGTGAGAAGACGAATGGAGGAAGTGAATTTAAAAGCTCGTAGACCAGCACGAGGTCCAGAACTTCTCAGACAGTACCGAGTAGCCCGACTTCAGTTCGCAAGAGAACATGTCAATTGGACCCACGAGCAATGGGCTAGAGTGTTGTTCACAGATGAGTGTCGAATAGCTTTACGTGCTCCAGACGGTCGAGAACGAGTGTGGAGAAAAAGAGGAGAGAGGTTTCTACCCATTACCACCACCCAAACTGTGAGTTTCCATGGAGGCTCAATAATGGTATGGGGAGGTGTAAGTTCCGACGCACGTACAGAGATGGTCATCGTCGATAATCGGTTTACAGCTACTCGATACATCGAGGAAGTTCTTCAGGAGCACGTAATGCCTTATTCGGGATTCATTGGACATGACCAATTCCTCCTCATGCACGATAATGCACGCCCGCACGTCGCACATTGTGTAGAGGAATATCTGGAAGAGGTTGGAATACAAAAATTACAGTGGCCAGCTCGTAGCCCGGACTTAAATCCAATTGAGCATGTATGGGGTATGCTCAAAAGAAAGATAAAGTCCAGCTCCAAACCGCCACAAACTCTAAATGAGCTCCGAAATGCAGCGCTGGCCGCTTGGGACAGCATACCGCAAGTTGATGTCAGAAACATCATTCAAAGCATGCCAGATCGAATGCAAGCGGTTATCAGGGCTAGAGGAGGAAACACCCGATATTAAAACTGATAGACAATAAAGAAACAGACTTAATTTTTAACTTTGTAGTGTTTTTAAAGTGACAATGGAAAGATGTTAATTTTAGTGAAAACATGTTATCTTGAAAAGAAAAATTTCGGTGAAGTAAACATTAAATTTCTATGTTCTAAAACCATTAGAGACACTTATTGAATGCATCTACCCTTAATTTACTGTTAAAAAAACGTTTCAGTGCAAATAATCAGCAAATTCACGAGTGGCCAAGTTTCCATGCCGGTGAGTGTATAAATAAGAATATATTTTCAAGTGTTATGTAAATGCTGTTATTTAACATTAATGTTATTAATATTTTTGCACAAAATAATATTACTTTGTCTCAAGAAAAATAAAACTTTTTAAAAGTAAAATAGTCATGATTATAGTTCGGCCGTTCAGAGAATGCGTTCCTGACACCTATCAGTCAGTCACAACTAGTGATGGGCACAACATAACACTGAGTTCATTACCGTTCCCCAAAATGAACCGCCGCATTATTTTTAAGATTATTTTCGTTTTAAATTGGTGGAATCATTTAAAATTTATATTTTAGTAATTTAAGTGGAAACCAAAAAAAGGTAATATTAATATAATAAAATTGTTTTATTTATTCTTTGTTACAAAGTTACAATCTGTATTTCTATGCAATAAAGTACATTGAATTGAATGTGCGTACAGAATATTAATCAGACTCCCGATTCGCTTGAGGAGGTGGTGTCTTCATCATCATCTTCGCCTACATGTATAATTATATTATTATCAATAACAGAATCAATCCTGATATCTCGGTCAAAATGTTCCACAATCAGGGTTTTAGTCTTCTCAACAACCTTTGCCCAGTCATCTCTTGTGACTTCCCCGCAGGCTTCTTTTAATAGGGTCATCATCTTTTTCATGCTGAATGGCGGGGAAGTATTGTGCCCAGATTAGCTCAATTGTGTTATATTGGCAATGATACGGTGGAATTCTTAGAACGCAATGACCGTACTTCAGAGCCAGTTCATCGATTTCGTATCGCACATTTGCCACTTTATTTTCTTTAACTAATTTAATTAGCTCTGGTTTTAGCATCTGCATATTTGCGTCAATGCCTTTTGCTTGTAACCAAGCCACCATTTCTTCTTTTTTATTAGCTTGGGTAGGTGGTTTCTGTATTTGAACTGAGTGATAAGAGGCATTATCCATGAATATTACAGAAAGCTCTGGTAGGCTGGGCAAAAGCACGTTCTGGAACCCCTCTTTAAATGTAGTGGCATTCATTTCCTCATGGTAGTCATTTGTGGTTTTTGATTGAAATGCCAGTAACGCGTTCTCCACAAAGCCATATTTTGCTGAACCTGCGTGGCATATTATCAGATGGGCCCCCTTATCCATTAGTAGTTTCGACGTCGACGCTTGTGTATCATCCGTCCAAGAATGGGAAATCGTGTGTTGGGTTTCACGACATTATCCCAGTTATCAATATTTTTTGCTTCTCTCAAAAAACTTATCTGTTTTAAAATTATGTCGTATCATTCTAATAAAATTTTTCTTTTGTCTGTTTTTTATACGAAAAACCAATATCTTTTAAGATTTTGGTTAAAGCAGTTTTACCCCTGCTAAACAGTCCAGCTTCTCTTAACGATGCCAAAAGCTTCTTCCTGTTGAGATATTCATTTCTGGAATAGTAACCATATATATGATTTCTGATTGCATCGGCGTCAAAGGTGTCAATATCTGTCACGGATTTAGTTCTATGTTTCTTCTTCGGAGTACGTAAAATATTATCTTCCGTGCCAGTAGAGCCGAACTTTTCTTTATTAATATTTGTTATCGTTCGTTTGCTAACTCCAAGCGCCTGAGAGCGCGTTTTTGTATTTGTTCGACAGGTAACAGGGGTCCGCCATTTTGCCACTCCCGCTCAAAGTAATCTTGCAGCTTGATGATTAACTCACGGGCTCCACTTTTCAATGTTTGTCCACGTTTAGGCATTATTATGCACCAAAAGTAAAAAGAAAGCAATACAAAACACAATCGAAGTCGGATTTAGCGCCGATGTCAGTTTGAAAAGCAGAAACAGTCCATTAAACGAAAGCCGGGTAATCAAATAAAAACAGATCGAAAACACTTGAAGAACGTGGTCTATGCGCACGAAACGACAACAGACGACTGTTTTAGCGTCACAAAATGGCGGCCCATAACGCCATTTGGGGTTACCATTTTCAACCTAAATATAAAAATGCTACTTTCTTTCGCGCCTTCGGTTTGGTCGTAGTTTTATTTTTATATTTAATAAAGTTATCTTATGGTCCATTATTTTCAAATTCTTAAAAAGAAAAACAAAACGTATTATTTTATAAAGTATAACTGTATAAGAACAGATTACAATACTGTTATTGCCTGTTATTGTTAGCACAGCACTACATGTATAGATTTAGAAAAATATTGTTTACGAAGTTATTTGACACTCAGTTTGGCACAAAATTATAACATTCATTGATTATTGATATAATAATGTTGTTTTAATGCTCATCAATTGTTAAAACGGTAAACAACCAGTAAAAGTATTTTTATCGAAACTGCAACGCCATTACAAAGTTACGTCGTCAGTTCAATCGCGACGTGTCAGGAACGCATTCTCTGAACGGCCGAACTATAAGAATTTTACAACATTCTCGTTTAAAAATTGAGGTAATAATTGTTGTTTGAATATGAAAAAAAAATATTGTTACGCGCTCAAGTCGACGATACACTAGCGCCATCTAGTGTCAGGAACGAGAGCGAGGGGAGCATTGAGAAAATGACATCACAAATCACTCGACCGACAGCGCCACCCGAAGAACTAAGTTTCTGGAAAATCTACACTCGAATACTCGTTGCCTGGCGCGCATTTACTTGAATGTTCGGGACGCTTCTTTGCTAATTATATAAATAGGCGCTGCAAGATGCGATCGGGGCAGAGTTGAACTCGGCGACACAAGCGAAGCTTCGGAGCGGAATTAAGTGAATTAGTGTGTTTAATTATTAGTGTTTTTAGTTTTAATTTGTGTAAAGTAAATTAAAGTGTTAATTTAGGTAATTTTATCGGCAATTTTTATTGTCACGAACCTCAAGCTCGTAACAATGGTGTCAGAAGTGGGATAAAATCATGCCGATTTTACCTAAGGAGGAAACGGAGGGTGTCCGTACCCGAAGTCAACGCCAGCAGGAGACGGACCAAAGGAGATTTGGTGGTGCAACGCCGCAGACGGCGGAGGGTCAGCCGCCGGCTGCAGGCCCGTCAGTAGCTCCTGAGGGTCAGCCGCCGGCTGCAGGCCCGTCAGTAGCTCCTACATCTGCAGCACCTGATTTAGGTGCTCTGATGGCGATGCTACAGGAGCAGCTGCAGCGCGGACGAGAGGAACAGGCCCGTCTGTTGAAAGAGCAGCAGGAGGAACAGGCTCGCCGACAGGAGGAACAGGCCCGTCGGTTGGAAGAGCAGCTCAAGCGCGATAAGGAAGAGCAGATGCTCCTCATGAAGTACATTCACGCTACCTTCGGGAAAGAGATAAGGGAGGTGAAGGATAAGGTTGCTCAACATGACAACCGCCTGTCGGAAGCTGAAACCCGTATCGACCAAGTGAACAATAGGGTTGACAACGTAATGTCTGACATGAAGAAATCACTGGACGAACTCAAACTGGGTGATGGAACTACAGCTCCCGTAGTAGCTACTACACCTTCGCTACGTGGGTTCAAAGTGCCACCGTTCGACGGGACTTCTTCCTGGTCAGCCTACAAAATCCAGTTCGAGGCTGTTATGAAGGCGAACGGCTGGAATAAAAGTCAGGCCATGACTGCTCTCACACTAGGCCTGCGCGACCAGGCCTTAACAGTTCTGGAAGCTCTCGGTGAGGAAGTGACTTATGAGCAACTCCTTGAGGCATTGGAGGCGAGATATGGCGACGCTCACCTGGAACACGTCTTTCGTGCGCAGCTTAAAGATCGTGTGCAGCGCATCAACGAAAACCTGCAGCAGTGGGCTCTAGAGGTGGAGAAGCTGGTGCGAAAAACATACCGGTCTGTACCTGCGCTCATTGAAGGTAACCTGGTGCAGACATTCATCGACGGCATCCGCGACCTGGAAGTCAGAGCTGCTGTGAGGCTCGGGCACCACGAGACGCTTAAGGACGCCTTGGCCCATGCACTGGAAGTGGATGCCGTGCGGCAGGATCATCGTTCCCATCGCGTCAGGGAGGTTGCAGCAGCTACAGTTCGCGACCGCAACAAAGGATACAGCCCAAGGTGCTATGGCTGTGGGGAAAAGGGCCATCTTCGATCCAGCTGCCCTAAACTAACCGTGGAAAGGAGAGTTGATCGATCTCGAGAGGGTAGTACAGCTAACGGCACTGCCTGGCGGCGACAGGATCATCGTTCACCTCATGCTAGGGAGGTTACAGCAGTTACGGTTCGCGACCACAATAAAAGATACAGCCCTAGGTGCTATGGCTGTGGGGAAAGGGGCCATCTTCGGTCCAGCTGCCCTAAGCACACCCTAGGAAGGGAAGGTGAACGGTCTCAGAAAGGAAGTGCGGCTAACAGCACCGCCCAGCAGCAGCAGGAATACAACTTTACTATCAGACACTGCAGCGTAAAATCTCACGGCAACGCAGATGCATTGACAAGAAGACCTTGTCCTGAAGATTGCTACCATTGTAGTAGGCAAGAGAGTAAGGAAGTGGTATCCGTGAGGATGCTCAGGACAGACCACCTCAGCAACGGGTGGAAGGACAGCCTACGACATGCACAGCAGGAAGATCCGGACATCAAGCCGATTCTGGGATGGATGAAGGCCCGTGCTACCAAGCCTAAGTGGAGGGACGTCTCAGCGATGAGTTCAACCACGAAAAGCTATTGGGCCCAATGGGACAGCTTGCTGATTCAGGATGGAGTCCTGTGCCGTAAATGGGACAATGGTCGAAGGGACAGCTGTCGTTTACAAATGGTTGTCCCTAAAGCTAAAGTGCCGAATGTTCTACAGCTGTGCCATAATGGTCGTTCAAGAGTCCATCTGGGAGTTAAACGAACTCTACTGAAGGTCCGAGAACAGTTTTACTGGGTCCATTATCGTGACGATGTCGAGGATTGGTGTCGTACATGTACAAGTTGTGCGGCCGTGCGGGGACCTCAGACACGTAGTAGAGGAGCACCGAAATTGTACAATGTTGGTGCACCACGGGATAGAACAGCCCTTGACATTGCGGAGCCGTTACAGAAAGGCGCAAGAGGGACTCCTAAGATCGTCCATGTGGATCGCTTGGCGCGTTATTATGGGGCCGATAATGCTCGGGACGAGCATGTCTTAGGAGGGGGCAGTGTTACGCGCTCAAGTCGACGATACACTAGCGCCATCTAGTGTCAGGAACGAGAGCGAGGGGAGCATTGAGAAAATGACATCACAAATCACTCGACCGACAGCGCCACCCGAAGAACTAAGTTTCTGGAAAATCTACACTCGAATACTCGTTGCCTGGCGCGCATTTACTTGAATGTTCGGGACGCTTCTTTGCTAATTATATAAATAGGCGCTGCAAGATGCGATCGGGGCAGAGTTGAACTCGGCGACACAAGCGAAGCTTCGGAGCGGAATTAAGTGAATTAGTGTGTTTAATTATTAGTGTTTTTAGTTTTAATTTGTGTAAAGTAAATTAAAGTGTTAATTTAGGTAATTTTATCGGCAATTTTTATTGTCACGAACCTCAAGCTCGTAACAATATGTTACACATTATACATGCAGTTGTAATGATATAGACCTAGCAGCGGGATCAACTTATTTTTATAGAATGAGGGTGACAAATGAGCACACATTACTAGATGGCAAGCGGATGCTTTGGCCTATAGACATCTACACCTGCCCTTGATTAAGAATCAAAATGCAGAAGTGTTGTTACACCTGAGAACTAAGATAGAATTCCTCGTAGTACGGTGTAAAATGAATCAAAATGATTTCGCAAAATTTTTAACATTAATTAAATAAATAATTGCCTCACCTATTTATAAATACATATTAGTGAAACTAACAATTACCTGTCAGAATACAGTAAAGAACATACTTTTTATTTATCTATCTTAGTCAACTGCTGAACATAAACCTCGGTAAAACAGAGGGGGGTGGGGGGATTAGAGAAAGCTCCCCTTGCATAGCCAATCGCAGGCACCCACTCAAGTTCACCTCTGCAGCTTTGACTTATCGGTCACTTAGGCGACCAGCCTCATTTGCTAGAGCTCGTGCAGGTGCATTTAATTTGCTACGGAAGGCGGGGGCTACTCTCCATCGACGCCTGCGTCTTTACAAAAACACTAGGGGTAGGCAAGGCGAGACTGGATTTGGGGCATACTTATTTGGTTTTAGTACAGATTCAATATGTCTTATCTATAAAGTCAGGTTGAAAGTCAGGTGAATTGTTACAATTAAAAAAAATTGTTGCATATTAAAAAAACAAATAGACATATTTGTGGTTCATTATATGCAATTTTAAGTGACATTTATTTTATTCTGTAATTCATTCAAAACGCACTTGTGACATCCAAAACCAGTGTAAAAGGTTCGAGCTTAACCCAGACAAACCTGTTTACCTGAAAACATAATTAAAATCTAGTACCAGATGTGTACTTCATAATACTAGACCACTTCCCTATTGATTGTTAGTTCTTTGAATTATATGGCCCACCCATTGACACTTCAGCTTACCGATTTTTTATGGATCATATAACAATGTAAAATACATATGTCATCTCATTAGGTTCTTTCTCCAGATGTCTGAAAAAGCTTATTAAAAGTCTACTGCTTAATATAGGCCTTCTCCATATTGCTTTACAGGGGGATTTTTGCCATAGTTGCCACACTTTGCAGGCATGTTTGCAACTGCAGTTTTCTATTATTTTAAGTTGTAATAAAGAAGATGATGCCAATCTCCTGTTTCAGTTTCCCTTTGTCAAATCTTACGGGACCTATGGGTGATGTAGGATAGTAGATTATCTCATGCACTACTACACGGCAACCTCGAAAATTATCAAATCTTAAAATTTTCTGTTACTGACCTTTTTGAAAAATTATTTTTATTATCTAACAAGAATAAATAATTAGTAGTAACAGAACAATGCTTCCTCTCGCCTCAACTACAGGTGCAGGCACAATCTATTGTCATACATGTGGAAGACCCACCCTGCTCCTCTATATACAAAGCTGCTTTTTCGGTATATTAATATTAACAGATACCCCATATTGTCCCATGAATGTTTTAAGGGGCGACGCAGGGAAATTGCAAAAGAAGATGAGCAGCAGCATCTTCATGGCAACTATGGTGAAATCTATGGGGCACGCCTATATTCAGCAGTGGACTATTGTAGGTTGTAATGGTAATGGTAATAGAATATTATCAGAAACTGTTGATACATTTTTGTTTCAAATAAGTAAATAAAAATCCTAAATAAAAATTAAGGCAAATGCTTTTTTATTCACAATTTTGGCCTCACATGAAATACTGTTCTCATCCCTGGGCCAGGGCAGCCCAGTGCCAGCTCCTTCCACTTGACCGCATTTAGAGAGGAGCGGTTCGAATTGTCGAACACCAAGTTCTTTCTGATCAGCTCGATTCACTGGCGCTGCGTAGGGATGTTGCATCCCTTTGCATTTTCTATCGCATGTACCACAGGGAGTGCTCTGAGAAATTGTTTGGATTAATCCCAGCCGCCAAATTTCATGAGCGCACTACACGTCAAAATTCAAGATACCATCCATCTGGATGCTTGGCGGTCCACCACTGTGTGTTTAACTAGGACTCAGTAGATACAAACTTAAATATGTATTGAAAAATAATTCAGTTGCCTTGTTCTTTCGTAAGACGGCAGTTATAAAATGTCTGTTGCAAGTGTATTGTAATATGGAATTCTTTTTTTATACAATTGTTTAATGTAAATTCTGCTTTAGCACTTATATTAAAGATATTCATTCACTTTTACTTTAAATTATGATTTGTTTCTAAGCTTCTTTAATGTTTGCATTTTAGAGATGCAGTTTTACCAATGGGTCCAGTAGATGGTCCCCCTACAATGATGACCTTCAAGGCCTTTTTGGCTGCTCAAGACGACTCTATTACTGTAGATGATGCCATTCAGAAGTATAATGAATATAAACTGGAGTTTAGAAGACAACAGCTTAATGAGTTTTTTGTTGCTCATAAGGATGAGGAATGGTAGGAATCATTTTCTTGTATTTTACATTTACCAGACTGCAAATTTAGGCAATTTTTTTAAAGAAATACAAAATTTAAATTGTATGGACTTAAAACTTACAAAGTTGTCATTTTGAGTAATATTGTTTCATGTATATTTGCTGGTATTTAAAAAAATCTAAGCAATAACTTACCACAACCCAATTTTAAATTTAAATTATATGACTTAAGTAATTTATTATTACATTTGGTAAGTTTGCCTAGATTTTTTTAAGCGTGCTATGCAAATGTTAATAGTAACCTTTTTTCCCCTACAGTCTACAGCGTTTTCGTGTGGAATTGCTGGACACCGTTAAGAAAATTATATTCAAACTTGTACAAATGTTAAAATGTTGTGTGTAGCTAGCTATTTTCGCGTTGACCCGTAGCGCGCAATGCTACAGGTTTCGTTTCTGTTAGGGGTAGGGTTTAAATAGTCCACAAGTGTGGAACAGGTGAGACTGAAGATTTTTTAAACTTTTATAAGTCATTTTAGTTAACTTTTTCAACTGACTACTTGAACTGATCTCTGGATTTGACAAAGGGCTTTATGTTTTAGGTATGTTAGACCAATTTTCATTTGTACCATTACTTCCACATTTTTCATTATAATTTTTACTTATGATTGGGATGTTAAAATTTTTAAAAACTTAAATAGGGGACACATGTTTCCTATTTACCCCGGCGCCAGACATGTGAACAATGTTTGAGCACTCATTTTCAAAAGTTTTGAAATAAATGAGTGGTTGATAGGAATGCAAATACATCTGCCAGACTTGTTTTCAAATATTTGCAGTTACAATTATCACAAAGATGGCTGGCAGACTGATCCATGACTCTGTTTTATTTGACTGCCTTTAATTATCACATGCTCTGGGTCAAAAGAAAACATTGTGAGGAAACCTTTATATTTTGAATTCATTACATGCCACCAACAGACATTACTGCTGACACTTTCTTGCCCTAAAACCTTCAAAAAAGAAAAGATATGTGTATAGCAGTGGGGCATATTATATAGGCTTAACTTTAACTTCTATGTCATTTAAAGTGAAATAATCAATATCTACAAGAAGAAGAAACATGATGACCCCTGAATCGGAAGTTGGGTTTTGATGAATCTTGAATATTGTTTATTTTTCTGCTATGAAAATCAATGATTTTCAAAAAAATCAGGAAGTTATTGGTTTCACCCAGGTTTTCAGAAATCGAGTTCTTGTCAGATTTTCACGTGTTGAGTTCCTAGGAATCTATTCTGACCATTCCTACGAGATTTGCTTGGTAGATTTTGAGAAATCTCAAAATTTAAATTAAAATTTTTTTTGTTTGAGATATATTTTTTAATTATCTCTGTTCTTTTTGAGTTAATATACATTTAATAAAAAATTTACGAGAATTCGATAACAGCATCATTATTACTGTAGTCAATTGTTGACACCATGACTGTTCCATCTAAACTTTGCAATAAATTTGACAGGCTGCTCAAACTTTGTGTTTACTTTACACTGCAAACTTGCAAATGTATGTTCAAACTGCACAAAAACGCAAAATACCCGTGTGCTTAGCGAATATGTAGCTAGGTATTTGCATATTAGAAGCAATTTGAAGCTAAGTCTGGCGCCAGCACTACAAATTTAGTGTGAGAATTACTAGCCCATGCATTCATTTAATGGAAGTTGGTCTAATTTAATATGTTACGTAAATTTTGTAGCAATTTACGCTTTCATTACATGTGTTTTATTTTGATATTTATTCAATTTAACTATATTAAAGGTTCAAGATTAAATATCATCCAGAGGAGTCTGTGAAACGCAAAGAAGAGCAATTAACGGCATTGAAGGTACACATTTTTTATATAAATTTTAACTGTTGTTTACTTTCGCTATTTGTTATTTCATGTTGGCATTTATTTTTGTCTGTGGTAAACAGAATAGGTTAAATGTCTTCTTGGAGTTACTTGGACAAGGGGAATTGGATAAAGTCTCAGTTGATGTTGATAAGTCTGATAAATTAATAAGACTACTTGATACAGTGGTTATCAAGTTAGAAGGTGGAACTGAAGAAGATCTGAAGGCTTTGGATGATCCGCCACCGCAAGAAAATTCTAATAACAGTGAGAAACAAGGTATTTTTTAAATTTTAGCTATTTCACTTATTTCAATAATATTATTTTAAAATATATTTCGTACGTCCATCGTAAGGAAATTCATAAGTCAGATCAATCTGAAATACTGGATTTTAGAGCCCTAAGATGTATATACTGAAATGTGTGTCATATTTGTTTTTTTTTTAATAGTAAATTGTAACATTTCAGTTTTTCTGTTGATCCTGAAAATAGATAGATCAAAATGTGTGCTATTGTAAAGTAAAACTGTAAAGTAATACTGAAAAGAACATATTGAATGTTCTTGTAGCTGTTTTAAGAGATATTGCTCTGTACTATCTCAAAGTTTAATTTTGTTGTTCAGAATTACGTGTACTGGCGGTGTAAGATTATCCACTACGACATATCGACCTGTAGGTGTCATTAGAGGGAAATTCAAACAGGCAGCAGCATCTCCCTGATAACAACTTAAAATTATAAAAAAGTGCAGTTGCCGACTCGCATTGATTGTGATTCTGTCTATGGGGTGGCCTATGTTTATCAGTTGTCTTTTATAGGCTGTAATGGAGTAATAATAGTTATGGATTTAAATTTGAGTCTTTCATAAAAACAAGAAGTAAAAATAAACTTCAACCAGTTAAGAAGACTGAAATAAATTCTACATAATAACTTAAGGGGCATTACATATTTTTTTATTTTAAATTTCGTATGTAAATCTGCATACAATGTTCATACAACGTTAAAAAAAGATGTCAAATTGAACCTTTGATATCATTGGGGCTAAATTTTTTATTTTATTTTATAAGCTAGTTATTAGAGAACTCTGTTTAATGAATAATGAATATTAATTTTTAGTAAATGATAAAAGTGAAGCAGAAAAGCCTGTAGTTATAGATGTGGACGAAGTGAAAGTAAAGGAAGAAAAAGACCACCCGGAACAAGATAAGGTATATATAGTTTTTATATTGCAGCTAATTAAAACATATTTGTTAAGATACTCATTAACATCCAATTTTTTTAATATACATAATTTCATTACATTATAATTAACACAAAATGTATTTAATCCAAAAGGGGAACCAGGAAACGCATTATACAAGGTTAATATAGTTTGGGATCATGTCACCCGCTAGAAAAAATAATCCTAAACTTATTTAAGATGCTATTAAATTTAGAGAGAGTGGAAGTGTTTATTATTATTAATTAAACACTGTTTTATATTAGAGGTGTACATTTTGCAGGAAAAAAAGGCTGAATCTCCAAAGCCTACAGCACCTCTTACTATGGAGATAGATCCTCATTTGCGTCAACTTCAAGAACAAGCTAAAATATTTTCCCGATTCAACTCTCAGCCTGGCAGTGAAAATGAGAGTACAGTTCAGGAGAAAGAACCACGTAAGTTCTGTATTGTATACACACTATTTTAAACTCTTTTTATGCTCAGTGTTGGCGCTAGGCAACTTCATTATCTATTTCGCGTACATACCATTAAAAATATCAGCATAATGCTGCTTTGTTTCATATAAACCCTTTTTACTGATGATAATGCATCTGTGTGTGTTTGCTTCTTTATAGTTGTCTGTGGGCCACAACATCCATGTACCATCAGGTAGACTACATACTCGTTTGTCACTTTAATCAAAAAATTAAGCTTGACTCAGTTATGGTACGGATGGGGATGTCTCACTGTCGTATGTTTTTAAGAAACTTCATATTACAGATTTCCTTAGAACTTTTTGCTTTACAGCCAATTGTGATGTAAATTCACTCTTAAGATTACTTAGTTCTTTTGCGTGGCACTGGTAGCAACTGAATTGCGCAATACCTCTGCCAGTAACAGTTCATCGGTGGTTTAAAATGACTTAAAAATATTGTAAATCAATTATGTACGTCATTTCTTCATCTCATCTCAAAATAAAAAAATTTCAGCCCCACCGGCGGTATCGTCATCTAGTTCGTCTTCGTCCAGCTCATCGTCTTCCAGTTCAGAAGACGAAGGTGAAACTAACACTCGACGGAAATCCAAGTCTAAATCGAAATCGCCAGACAAATCGCCTAAACAAAAGGAGAAGTCACCAAGTGTGGAAAAAGTTGTGGACATATCTGAAACAGATAAAGAAAAGGAAAATAACACCGAAAACAAATCAGAAACTGCAAATGATGTTGTTGTTGAGAAAAAGGAGTCCCGAGCTCTGCACAAAACTACTTCAATATTTTTAAGGAATTTGGCACCTTCCATTGCTAAGGCTGAAGTCGAAGCTGTAAGTTTATTTTACTATTTATATGATTTACTTCCTTTTTAATTTCAACAATGGTACTTTTATCAAATATTTATAAACCATAATTAATAATTCTATCACAATAAAACAGAATGATGACAAGTTCCCATTTAATATTTTATCTAATGTTTATTTGTTTTGTTGTGTAGTAGTGACTTAAAAGATTTTATCATTCCATTTTGTCACATTATGTAACAGACGACTATGGGTAAAGCCAGAAAGCTATTATGGCTTTCAATGATTGGCAGTTTAACCATTCAGTCAATCCAAGCACTGCTGCGGAGTGTAGTAGCATCTTAGGTCGACTAGACAGTGATTGTCAATCTGTTTGCCAAATGTGGCCAACATGGCAATTTTCTCTATATAACGCAAAGTATATGCCAAGCAGTGGAGTTTTACTGGCCGACGAAGAAGATTAAAAAAAAAACTTATCAATATTTTTTACTTTCACAGTTTGCAGAGACTGTTATCGATATTTTGCATATAAGAAAGTCGCAAATACATAAATTTAGGTTATGTCCTTTATTTGTGACTTACTGAGATTAATGTAAAAGCAATAGATAACAAGTTGATGGAGCGGAGCTACAGTGTATGATGTAGTATGCTTATGTTAAACACTCGCTGCCTGCGGTGCAATAAAATGTGGAAACAGGACGCCGCTCTCTCTTGCACTTAGCAACAGCAACAGGCGGCATCCCGTTTTCCCTTTTATTGCACCATGGGCAGTGAGTGCTTAACATTAGTATAGTACCTATGCAGTTTTAAAAGTAACTGCTGTTTTTATCGAAATAAGTCACAATAGTCATTATCAGAAACTGTCACACAGTCATTACAGTCAGTTGCTTAGGTCTTAATTGTCACATTCGTAGTTATTCATGGCCATTGTTAAATAGATGTGCAAGCGTTATGGTGGATTTCTTCGTGTGGCGTTGGCCGACCCTTTGCCGGAGCGTCGCTGGTTCCGCCGGGGATGGGTCACCTTTCGTCGTGAAGTGAACATTAAAGACATATGCTGGAATCTTAACAATATACGGGTAAGTTGTTATTATTGTTACTGTGTAGTGGAGGTGTAAGAATTTTCAATACTTCATATCATCCCGTGGGTGTCGTAAAAGGCGACAGAGGTAAACAAACTAGGAGATGAACTGCAGCGTTTTCTAGTAACAAACAACCCGCCAAGCGTGGCAAATATGTTAACATCTCTGAATCCCGTGGCAAATGTGTTAACATCTCTGAGTCCCGTAAGCCACAACTTAAAGCAAACAGTCCCCCACTCCTATTCGGCCATATCAATAAGGTATAAAAGAATTACCATCAAAGAAATATCTAAATTAAATTTAAATAATTTTAGTATCATTTAGTATCATTTTCCACCTGGAGACTTAGGAATTATTGCTTGAACTAGTTATTAAATTATAGAGAATTTTTTTTAGTATGTTATCACTGAGTCCAATTACTCATAAAAATTTGGCTTTTGGTTAGTACATGTCAGTGTATCGCTCTTTTTTATAGAATAAGTGTGACAGAAGAGCACACTGTCCACCTGATGGTAAATGGATGCTGTGCCCCGTAGGCATCTATATTTAACCTCAATTAAGAATCAAAATGTAGATGCATTGTCACCCCTGAAGACTAAGATGGAATGCTTCGATTTCAGTAAAACGAGTCTCTGATTCTCTACACTCACCATACGATACACAGCAGCATTAAGCTTCTATTTTCCGCTGGTATTCTGTAAGAAACTGGTCTTTCCCCAGTCGAGACGACCCATTCATGCTACAACCATAATATACCTGCAGCGTAGCTTTACCAAGTATAAAACCTTTATTTTTATGTTGATCTGAGCTTCCAAATGTATTAGACAAAGGTTATGTGCTACTTCTGTGGTACTAGTTGGCAAATTTCCGACTGGGTAAGTCCCGCTGCGACCAAGAGTTCTATCAACGCAATCAACTCGGCTGGGCATCTTAGGGAGAATACGGCACATCATCTCCTCATGTAGTCCTCAAAACTTACAGACAAGAATGTATAACCAGTGCATGTTGCCAGTGATAGATATATGGATCTGAAATGTGGCCCTACATTGCTAGTCGTATGAAGAAGCTTAATGTTGCTTTCAAGCTATGGAGAAGGTTATGCTCGGAGTTTACCAGCATCATTGATTTCGTAGTGATTGAATAGAATAGAGTATGTGTACTCTGCCTACGGTCATAACTAATAAAGCTAGTAAGTTGAAGAGGCAATTGGCCGGCCATATACCAATGATGGAAAAGAAGGTTCTCTAGTAGCTGTGTGAGCAGGTGAGCGAATTTGACAGAGTAAATTGGCAACCACTAAATAGAGCAACAGCCTGGTAAAACATGTAAGAAATCTATGGACGCAGCTCCTAGGTTTCATCATTAATTTATTCATTAACGCCTATCGAAAGTATACTGCTGAACTTAAACCTTCCCATAGGTTGCATAGTGGGGATATTTGACATAGTTGCCTAACTTGGAAAGTGGGTTTGCAACCCCAGTTTTATATTTTTTTTTAGTCGTTATTAGGAAGACACTGCTGTCCATGTTCTGGATTGTATCTCTTGCCTCTTATGATACACGTGGCACAATATTCTTACACTGTCACTGTATGCTCACTAAGTGAATAGCTTTCAGGCCAGTTTGGACAAAAATATCGTATTATAGACCCGATTATGACGCTTGAGATTTGATCGAAATACCATATGCTTGAAACGCCAAGGGCTGTCTGAGTTTGCTTTCCTGTAGATTGAGATCCATGCTCAACTCAATGAAGGAAACACTAGTCTTATGCACGATCTCATATATCATGCTTCCACTATACACTTTTAACAAAAATGACATAGTGTAACTACCCTCTAGAGAAGACTAGCTGAATGGACAGGTTATCTGTGAAGTCAGTAGCCTTATATAGTATACCGATGGATCAAAAATGGGCCTGGACGTAAGCTTTGGAATTCATGGGGAACGCCCCAAATTCAAACTTGAGTTTAGGTAGATACCTCTATATTCCAGGCAGAAATTTTTCGCCATACTTCAGTGTGTGGAAATCAATTTGCAAAAACACTATGTCGACCATATGATCTATATAAATTGTGATAGTCAAGCAGCACTGCTAGCGCTGAGATCAAACCTAGTGAACTCGAAGCTGGTTGGAGACTGCATGAACTGTCTAAATGTCTTGGGATGTAACAACAGGCTCGTGTTAAGATGGGGTCCGGGTCTCGCGGAAATTGTAGACAGTGAACATGCCGACAAGCTCGCACGGGAGTGCTTAAATAGTACACTATATTTGGACTCGATCCATTTTATGGAAGCTCAAAAACCCTAGCGCGATTGACCCTTGAAACTCTTTATCACAGTAAATCACTGTCTGATACACCAGTCTTAAAACATTCTAAAACCTAATTCCGGGCTTTTGATAGTAAATTCGCTTCATAAGCCATGGGATTAGGTAAAAATAAATTGCGCAATCCGGCAAGAGCCCTGACGTGCCACTGTTGTCTTAAAAAGCAGATGTCCATTCTGGGACTAAGCAAATCAAGGATGTACCGCTTTGTTCCCTAATGGAAGAAACGCCTCTGAACATCCGATATGACTGTGGACCCTTAATGCGCAAACGTAACACTCTTCTGGGGAACTATGTACTAACCCCAGAAGAAGTGAAATTGCTCCCAGCTAAGCAACTCCTTCGATTCATTGAAGACATAGGGCTTAGCAGTGAATTATAGTCATAGCAGCGATCAGAATGAATCTTTTAGGTCGCAGCGATACTGGTCTCTCACTCTAGACCTGCATAGCTGCTCGCACACAAAATATCTCGGATAAGCCCAGCTGCGACCAGCTATGCAATATATAATAAATAGCTCGGAATAAATTATGCGCATACGTGAAATACTCTACTAAATTCTTTATCTTCTTATTTAATTAGATTCTCAATTGGCTTTATTTTTCATTAGAAACTTTATTTTCTAATAATAATCTGAAACATTTCTATTGAGGTAGCTTTTGTTCATCAAATGTTTCATGCTTACTTACGAACACTTATATGAACTAAGTGTTGTGAGCCTTTGATGGCTAGTGTATCATAGGGGCTTGTGTAGGGAGGAAAATGAAACTGTTCACACCCACATAAGCAACAGATTCTACAATTGATATTATAACAAATAGGTTAACCATTAAAAAGTTAACAATAAATGGGTTTAATACTACATCAAAATATATATTATTATTTATTATACAGTTTTAATCAGGTTGCTATATTTTTTTTTGCTAGCTGTGCCAGTGACTTCATTCGCATTTAATCTTTGTTAGTAACATTGAAGAATAAAAGTAATTTTGCTGGTTTTATCGCGTTTAATTTTAACTTTTTTAATTCCCGACATTTCGGATACTTTACAGCACTCATAGTCGCGGAGGTACTGAGGTGTTTAGCGTCCCAATGTCATATTTAACAAAGGCTACCTTCAACTTTTAATTATTGCAGACTTGAGTGTCATACCGGAGTGTCGGTGCTTTACATCTCCGCTCCTTCATGCTTCGGAAAGTTTACAGTATGTCAACATGTTCAATATCGTTTCAACCGTTATATCAGATTTGATATACCACAAATCCTCGCAAAAGAACAGCGATTCCTATCAAGCATGATTCGCGAGGCTATTGAAATTAAAAAACATCCTAATTTCAAAAGTCCCATCATCTGCTTGGGTTCCCATAATTAATAAAATTAAATCAAAACCCAAGCATATTACTGCAAGACTTCAAGTTACCGTATGCTCGTTCTGCGTAGATCAGACCAAACATTAATAATTAAAAGTTGAAGGTAGTCTTCGTTAACTACGACAGTTTGACGTCAAACACCTCAGTCCCGTGACTATGAGGGATGTGTAAAGTGCCTGAAACGTCGGGAATTAAAAAAAGTTAAAATTAAACGCGACAAAATCCGTATAATTAATTTTATTCCATGTGTAGTATTCGCGTAAATATGAGAAATCGTAACATTGAAGTAATATTGTACTGCGTATCAATAGTAGAATAGTAGCAATAGTCCAGTGTAAAATAGCAGCTTAATGCTTCTGTGTTTCGTATGGTGAGTGTAGAGAACCGGATACCCTCTTTACTGGAATCAAGGCATTCCATCTCAGTTCTCAGGGGTGACAACGAATTTGCATTTTGATTCTTAATTAAGGATAAATGTGTATGTCTATAGGCCACAGCATTCATTTATCATCCCCCCGATGATATTTAAAAAAATGATACCGGGAAGAAATATGTGCAGCAGTGCGTGACCCATAGAAGGAGTCACAGAGTACCTTTTTCTGGCAGACTAAGTAAATTTGGGCCCGTGAGCTCTAACACGTTTTTCAAGTGTCGTGTCGTCGTCTCCTGTAGTTCGTAGTGCATAGTGTGCTACCTCATAAGTTTTCTCTGGGTGAACCGATTTTGATGATTCTTTTTTTTATTTGAAAGCTGCTGCTTTTCGTGTGGTCCAATATATAATTTAAACAAAATCTGACCAGTAGTTTTTGAGTTATCGTTAATAATGCGTATTTGATTGACTCCGAACACATTGATTCAGTCGTTTTGAAGTCAGTTGTACAAAACGTTAATCAATAAATGTTTTTAAAATAAAGTTAATTTGAAAATAGAATTCTTAGCCGCACAAAATTTTTTTTTGATTATAATTGCCAGTATTACAGAACGGCGATTTTATAGGTATCTATATATAATCATAGAATACTATAATACACAATAGAATGGCTGTCAACCTTATTTTGTAGGAGGAGCGGCGTCGCCGGAAGCACACATACAAGCAATTACGTCGTATTATCTTTGGTACAAACCCAATTCGCTGTGTTGATAGACTGAGTAAATTTACACATTTTAGACTTTTGGATCATCATTAGAAAAATCGTTTAAATTTTAATACATATTTATTTGTAAATAGTGTTCAATTTGGCATTTTCTAAATAATTTACATGCGAAGTTTGGAAACCATTGTTACGTCAAAACACATCTCGTGTTGACATTTATACGTGTAAATTGACATGTTAGTGACATTTTAGTGGCTACACGGGTTCCGCCCACTCCCTTGTTCTGTTATGTATATATAGTATTCTATGATATATATAGACCTATTATTATGTTACAAAATAATTTTACAAATTTGTTTTAGCTTCTAACCTTTTCTTTTTTTAAATCGCTACACCTACATCATATTCTTACCACTCCATGGGTTAACTGGCAGAAAATGCCATTAGGCATTAAGTACGCCTTTTGTATGTAATGCAATAAATATTTAAAATAAATAGAAAGCAAATTAGTTTTCCTGTTGGGCTTGTATAAAAAGTAGTTGTATACTGGGTGTGTTAGCTGCGCGAGTGCGAGTTGGGTGCCATTGTGAACCGGGACCTGCAGCGGCGCATCCGCGCGGTGTCGGGCGTGACGCTGGAGCGCGCCGTGCTGCGCGCCGACGCGCGCCTGGCCGCGCGCCTCGCGCACCTGCTCGACACGCGAACGCGCCTCTGGCAAGATACGCCGCGTGCCGACGCGGCCGACGCCGCCGACCCCGCTGACACCGCCGACGACAAGCCCGCCGCGCCAGAGGTAACTAACTACCCCACTCATCCAACGCTCGTACTAGCCCGTATAGTAAAGTTGTTCAAAACGACTATAAATCAATAGCACGCTACAGACTATAAACTATAAATTTTTATCGCGGTATTAAATACGCTATGTTATAGCGTGCTATTTATAGGAAAGCGTGTAGGAGGCCAGCAAGCGCGTTAAGTTTTGCAGCACGCTATAGCTCGTAGCACGTTACATTATATGTCGTTCATTGGATAGACCGCGTGCTATATATGAACATTATTTCGTAATAAGTCGCATTTTAGACTAAAATAAAATAAAGCGGTAAAGAAAAACCAATGAACGCTATTTCATACTTTTCAGGCTTACGACTTTCTATAATCCTTAAAAATATTTTTAAAGCATGTACTTTTTAAAACGAAATAAAATTAATTACTTTTTGTTGTAATTGATGTTTTAATGTTATTTTAACCTTAATATAAATTATAAATCAAATAAAAGTGTATTTAAAAGTTTATTGATTGTATTTATAAAAATCAACTATTTACATACACTATTATATGAGGGGTATAAAAGCAAAGGCACCACTGTCCATGGAGTAGGAGTGGGTCAAATAAAGTTGTTAGTGTAGTGCTTCGGGTTTGTAAATTAACTATTTAACTATAGTTGTTTTGCTGTGTTTAATGTAATTTATTTCTTATCCTGCAATGTAATTTACACATACACATAGCATTTTAACGCAAACAAAACAAAATCATTAGAACAGTGGCGTCTTTGCATCATAGTAATGGACTGTGGTAAGTATGCATCTAAAGGTTTGGACAGTGGCAGTTTTGCATTTGAGTAGGCTGACGTCATTATGGAGGTAAGGTTAGCAAAAACGTTAACGTTTTAAAAGTTTTTTGGCGGCAACCCATGCCGTCATGTAGGAGCTCATGTTTGCCATTATTAAGATTTAAAAAAAAACGTTAGAAAATGAAATAGTTTTTATTAAAAAAAAAAAAAAAACAATACCACTTAAATCTGCTTACAACCTGTCGGAAATATCTGCGAACCTGGCTTGATGACGTCATGCAATATGGAGAGATAGCAAAAAAATGGATATGCAAAAATGAAATATATTTTTTTGTGCGCCAATTTATTTTTATACTTCTATACAACGCCTTAAAATAAATTTAAAATAAAAAATACATTCCTATTAAAAATAAAACTATTTGTATATATCAATGTAACGCTTTTATACTGGAAAAAGTAAATGCAAGAAACCATATTAAGTATAAAAGTTTGTTGTTAGAAATGATTTTTTTAGTAGTTTCTATTCTAGGGTAAGTATAATAAATTAAAATCAAATAATTTTCAAGCCATTTAATTAGCAGGTATTTAACATTAAAATTCTAATTTAAAACAATTAAGTACTGTCATTTTCAAAAGTGGTCTATTAATTTTTTAAAAGCCTCAACACCAGACATTGTTTCGCTGTCGTTGTTGTCAAATTCTTCATTGTCGCTGAAAATGTTGTCATCACTTTCGTTGTCACTATCTTCTCCACCTAATGAAATTACTAATTCCTGTTCCTCAAGTTCATACAATCTATCAGCATGCCAAAACTTGTCTCTTAAGCGATCGACATGGTTGCATTCTTTTTTCCAATCTTCTGGGGTTATACTCTGTATCGCTTCCTTTGTTAGTCTTTCTATATCTTTTTCTGATTGGTCTACATTTTTGTCTGCCACCCTTTGCTTCATCAAATTCCAAACATACTCAATTGGGTTAAGGTCACAATGGTAGGGTGGCAGACGTAATACCTCTTGTCCATGAGATCTAAATATTTCATCGATCAAATATACCTTCTCGGGCTTATGTCTTTTTAACATATACAGTTCTCTTTTTGTCATTTTCTCGTCAAATTCGATGTTGTGTTCTTGCAGCCACATTTGCATTACGTTTTTACGTGCACTGAAATTTGGCGGCTTATTCACCTGCTTGCTGTGGTACGGTGCGTTGTCCATGACAATGATACCGTTGGGTGGAAGATTCGGTATCAATTTCTCTTCGATCCATTTTGTAAAATTTGATGCATCCATTTCGTCATGGTAATCACCGGTTGTTGACTTACATTTATAAAGGAGCTCGGCACCTTGTACGAAACCATTCTCATTGCCTGCGTGTACCACAATCCAGCGCTGACCAGGAGAGTGATTAGTTTGAATACTGGAATCACTACTATTTTGCCAACATTTCGAGACAGTGTAATGTGAATGTATCCAGGTTTCGTCGATGGAGGTCACTGGTTTTTTTCGGCATCACATTCGTCATTTTCTTTCAATCCCCTTAAATATTTTGCTCTCCAGGCTGCTATTTCAGGTCTTTGCACCAAAAAATCGCGTTTACGTTTACATTTCTTAAACCTGTACCCCAACGAATTTATTAGTATATTTCTTAGGGCGTCTTTTTGTCCGGGAAAGTTCAGCTCCTGCTTGGCTATTCTCAAAATCTTTTTTAATGTAGGTATTTCTTTTCTGGTGGTATAAAAACTTTCAACTAAAGAGCGTATGGCGCATAAATCAAAACTACATATCTAGATCAATTTTCTTTTTGTATTTTTTACGCTTCTTCCCTGGTGTCGAGAGCATAATAGTGTCCGTGGTAACTGAAGCTGACGTACTAGGTTGTGGGTCTTCTTCGAAGGACGTCATCTCTTCCTGAACATTTGCCTCTCTAGTTGATTCTGACAAAACTTGTAACTTTTTTGCTTCACTTTTTATTTTCATTATGGTCGTTTTAGATAAACCAGTTGCTGCACATGCCTTTTTTGTTGCTTGTTCAACCGGGATACTGAAACAGCCTTGTTGTTTTTCATTGTCAAAGAATTTAATTACTTTGAGCACTAAATTCCGCTCGGCATTATGTATAGTCTTACCCATCTTGTAAGTAGTCTATTGTAATAATAGTAATATTTCACCAAACAGAGAAACAATAAACAATAATGCGATTACGAAAGCGAGATTAATACACGTGCGTCGGCGCTTGCGTTGGCAACGGTACCGGATAGACGATAACGGGCGGAGGTGCGGGGAAGCGCGAGGGGAAGCGCATTCCAGCGAGGTTCGCAGATATTTCCGACGTGTTGTATTTAAATACTCATTTCCGACTCTGGGACCGCAATTTCGCACATTTCTTACTCATATTCTTCAATTCCTTTAGTTCTCATTTCAACTGATCTTGTCATCACCTGTTTGTAATAGCTTAAATCACTCCTATCTTTCCATTCTGAGCCATAGTGTTTAGTCGATAGATTATCCACGTCATGCAGTTTTGCTTGTTTGACTAATACATTATGTTTATTTATTTGATTGGGTCTGACTTCTAAAAATGACTTTCCTCTTTTTAAAATGGACTTGTAACAGCCTGCTTCAACATTATAATTTGGTTCACCTTGTACAAAGACATTATTGCTGCTATTTCTCCTCAAGAAAAACTTTTTCATTTGAGCGAATTGAAAATGCCAATTCGCTGGAGGACATATCACACCATTTAAAGTTGATTTCCAGTCCATAACATTATCAAAATGGATAACAGTCCCATAATTTTTATAGACTTCAATATACTCCTCTGGCTGTACTATGTTCTCCATATGCTTTATTTCTTTTTCCATAAGGCCGAATACTCTGTCAGGTGGAATAAAAGAGTGTCCTGGTATAGGAAAAATCAATTCAATTTTTTTAATATGGGGCGGTGCTCGACTTATCCAGGTGTGCCACCTGGATAAGTGACATACCAACCATAATGGAATTTTTGTTTTGTGCTCCACACCCATCAGCTACCAATATTATGATATTTATATTTTGACTAAAAATTGTAGTCTGTAGTCTGTGGTACACTGCAGATGCAATCTCATTTGCTCCTTTACGGTGCTCGTCTTCTGTCCAGGTGTATAATGTGACACTTCCTTTACCTAAAGTATTCTCAGGTACTGATTTAACGATTGCACAATTGTATATGTACAGTTGGCGGCTGTAATAAGCTGCCTGATGGGTATTTTTGGCAAGACTTGGTTTTTCTGGCAGTCAAACGAGAAGACAACCATGTCTTCTCTTACTTCCTTTAGTAAGCGATAAAACGCTTTCGTCTTTAAAATATGCAATCTTTTTCGCTTTTTGTGTTGTGTCTGTAGACGTCTTAATTTTTTCATATAAATCGGTGCATTTTGAACAGGTATCTGTTCGGGGGTTCCCAAAACCCAAATTATAGCACCTATTGAATATTGCCCTGAAATAACATTCGCGAACTTTACTGTCGTCGTTGCACTGATTTATGTACTTTTTCCACATCTTTCTAATATTTAAAATTTAATTTTCAAAATAGCGTAAGTACTCAGTTCCTAGAACTTATATCCAATTTCGGACTCCAGTGTCATATTCAGGAACCAACACGAATTGATAAATGTATGGACAACATCCTTAGTAATATTTCAACTGCGGTAGGTAGGACGCACAACTTCTGTCTCTCAGATCACGACACAGCTCAAACAATTGAATTTGAAATCAAACAATTAGAAAAAATATCTAAACATTACTTCACAACTAAGCTTGACTACAGCAAAAATAACCTAAGTAAATTTGTAGAGTGCATTAGCTGTATAACTTTTTCTGAAATATTCAATAGATTAAATACCAATGAGGCTTTTAATGAATTTCACGAAGAATTAACATTATTCTTTAAACTTTGCTTTCCCATAATAAGACGAAAAAATAGTTTTAGAGCCGGCGGAATATCTTGGATAACGAAAGGTCTTAAAATTAGTTGCAGAACCAAAAGAACACTAAGATACAACTGCTACTTAAATAGAAGCAATAATAATAAATTAGCGTATATAAATTATTCCAAATTGTTAAGGAAATGTATAAAAAGCACGCAATCGCTTTGTAACCAAAGGTACATAACCAACTCTCGTAATAAAGGTAAAGCAACTTGGGACGTAGTCAAACGATATGTTGACGGTACTGTTCCTAGGACTG